CACACACACACACACACACACACACACACACACACACACACACACACACACACACAATTCCGGGGTTGGACCCCCGGATCCACCTCTACGGGCTTCACAAACTTGTTACTTGCAGGGCGCCGCAGCATTTTCTTCACAGCCTGCAGATCCGAGTGATCTATCATTATATATATGATCCGCCCAAACAACCGCGCCGATAAAAAATTACTCGGAAGATATTTTATTGTTTAGTCGACAGATGGAGCCTGTGTAGTTATTCTCGCACGTTTTTTGATTTCGGCAAGATGTAAACATGTTATAATTTTTGTGCATTGTGTGATGTAAACTGTAAATCTGTGCATCAATTGGAAATGCACGAGGTGCGTAATGTAAATTGTCAACGTGTTAAACTACATGCATGAGAATGTGTACGCGTATCGTTGCGATAACGAAACCCGAAAACAATCATTGTAACCTAGGCGCCTAGTATAGCTTTACCCGTGGGCCCCGGACCGTACCTAGGGTACGTTCCAGCAGTACCCTGGGGGACATAGACCCTATGAGCAGTAGTACTAGTAGTACTAGTAGAGGTACCATGCAGCCACAGCAGCCCTACTCTGTTGGGTTACAGCACAGCCACATTGCACTTGAAACGTCTCAATAAACAAAATAATGGTAAATAAACACGAAATGTATTTACTACCAAAGTCTTAATGTTCCTCTACTCTCTTTTGCTTTAATTTATTTATGGCCGTGGCTACGCGACCGGTTCGGCTACGCGTCCGGACATCCATCTCACACAGTGATCTTGCGACACGCACGCGCATGATTGCGCAATGGGATGCTCTGCTGCATGATTGCCGAGTGTGTGTGTGTGTGTGTGTGGGTGTGAGAGAGAGAGAGAGAGAAGGAATGTGTATGTGTGTGTGTGTGTGTGTGTGTATGCGTGAGAGAGAGAGGGAATGTGTATGTGTGTGTTTATGCGTGAGAGAGAGAGCTAGAGGTGTGTGCGTGCGTGCGTGTGAAATAGAGAGCTGTGCATGTGTGTGTGTGAGAGAGAGAGAGAGCGAGAGAGGACGGATGAAAGGATAGATGGCAGCAGTGCATATATTGTATATTTACAACAATCAGCAGAGCGTCCCTGTTGCGCAATCATGCGTGTACGCGAGTCGCGCGATCGCTGTGTGAGTGGATGTCCGGATGCGTAGCCTGGAGGCAAGGCGACCGGTTCTGGACGCGTAGCCACTGTGTTTATTTATTGCCGATAATTTCCTGTAAATGCTATTCAAATGTTCCTCTGCAACACAGCTACGCCGCCGCACATTTGCACATAATATATATATATAGTGTTATAGTATATATATATATATAATATATATTATGTGTAAATGTGTGGATGCGTGCGTGCAGTACGTGTAGCTGTGTGTTGCAGAGGAACATTTGAGCGGCACATACAGGAAATTATCAGCAATAGGCGAAAGAGAGTAGAGAAACATTTTCGTGTTTATTTACCATTATTTTTTTTATTGAGACGTTCCAAATGCCTGTGGGTTTCATAGGTATTGTGTTGCATCCTGCATATACTCCCTACCAAACTATATGCCACCTCTACATTCCACCCATGCTGTATTTCTTGCAGTCCAGAAATGGAAGGGCATGGAGAACATTGACTCAAATGATAAAGTAACTGATAGACTGATAGAGCCAATTAGCTCTACTTTCACTGAATAATTTTAGTTAAACATAGCAGGAATTATTTGAATGCTTGTAACATGGTGGCACATACTGTTAACAACATAAACAGTGTATGAAGCAGACATGATAATGAAATCCTGAAAATAGTCTAGTAAGTTAGTAACTGTCTATGCAAATATTATTATAGATTATTAGTATTATAATGTATTCTATTGGAGGCATGATCGAAGATGCAAGCACCTGAATTGGGATAGGATCAATATATATATATATATTTTTTTTTTAGATCATAATACATATAATATATAACATGTGTGCGTGTGTGCGTGTGTGCGTGTGTGCATGTGTGCGTGTGTGTGTGTGTGTGTAGTGCATGTGTGCAGTCCAACATGTATGTATAAGGGTCACACGGGAAGCCCAAAAAGTTCCCAGGGTAGATAGTTTTCCATTTTAACTTGGGTTATTTCACTACATAACTGCATGCATGTTATAGGAAATGCTTGAAACTTGTGTCCTTTATCGACCAGTACAAATTTTGCAGAGGTGTCCAATAGCATATCATGGGTGCATGTACCTGACACACGCAGTCACACACATGATACGCACACACACTCGCATGCACACACATACGTGGATTTATTCTATTACTAATTGTTTCATAATAATTTCAGAAGAAATGGCCACAGAAAATGTGAAATCCAGCCCAAAAGCTAGAGTTGTTGTACAGCAGTGCCTGTCTGCAAAACTCATGGTGCAGCCCCCTAGTGATGATCATGCAGAAGAAGCTAAATATGTTGAGGTAAGGCACAGTATAAAAAAACGAACTCCACAAGGAAAGTGTGATAAAATATTAGGCAGAGCTGCTGCTAATAGGTATAATAGAACACATCTTCAGCAATTATATATTGAAGTTTGTGGAATTTATACAGTTTCTTCTGGCATGATTCTTAAACAGAAAATAACCAGTTCAGGACATTTTTGCAATTTTCCAGTGGTAGGAAGCCAGAATATTTCTGTACAACAATTTCAGTTCATGAATTTGGCTCAATGTATTTTTCAAACTCATAATACACATGGATGATGATGAAATAAAGAGCATAGGACAGTATTTGTATAGTATAGTAGCAAGAAATTCGGTATTTAGCGTTCACACGAGGAAAAATGCGCGATCCAAGAAATACGGAATCTAAATAGATTCGGTATTTGTTGAAATACGCGGCTTCCCAGATGCCGAATTATTTGCTGTGCTTGAGAAATTCCGAATCTCTTAGACCGTGTATTTCCTTGTGTGAACGCTAAATACCTAATTTCTGAAGCCGCGTATTTTATAGACTGGTTCGCGCTCGACAGTACCAGTGTGAGTCTCGTGTGAGCGCAGCTAATATGTTTATATATATATATATATATTATATATATATATATATCTTCTCTTTCAGATCAAAAGAGGAGTAGTTCTCTACATAAGTTTCTTGAAGGGAGCAACAGAAAATATTGTTACTAAAATGGGTAAGTGTAGCCTCTATGTGCGGCTACTTAGGTGTGGTAGGTGAGGTAGGTTAGATAAGAGTACAGGGTGCGGTAGACATAAAGCAAACGCCAACTAGAAAAGTAACGTACCACAAGCGACTGTATTGTTAGCCATGATAATACAAGGTAATACAACACGTAGCGTACAAATACAACTGTGACAGGTAACGACACGGGGATAGAGCGAGTAGGGTTCCCCGTGTCCGAGTGCCGCTCGCCTTATATACACCGGCAATCGCTGTGCCCTTCATCCGGGCATTATCCTGTCACCTCTTGGGTTGTCCAGGTTCCTATTCTGCCAACCCCCGTCTTGCGAGGGCCGCATCTCATAGTGTCGCGTGTCACGTACCCCGCTCTCTCTCTCTTAAGTGACCATTGACTCTAGTCACCGTTTGACACCTATGCCACCTGTTGCACCCGCTACCGGCTGTTGCCTGCTCTCTTTCCGCTCGGCAATGTGCCTAATTAATGAGCTGTAGCACAGCGTCGCTACATAAGCATATCACCAATAATTTCGTAGAGATATATCACTTTATTAAACTACTCTTGACACAAGCCAACTTATCTTAGCCATTATGCAATAAATGTTTCAGCTGCACTTTGCTGTCGATATTTCTAACTCATAGTAGTAGCAGTTCATATAAGCCGCGTTCACACGGAGCACTTTGACCCGGGTCAAATGCGTCCCGGCCCAAGCGTTCACACGGACGTTTTCTCGGTACGAAAACGACCCATGTCATTGCGACCCGGGTCGTTTTCGCACCCACTCGACCTGGGTCGAAATTGACCCGAGCGCTGGTTCATTTTTCCATGTGAACGCGCCCCGACATGCCACCGGGGTCAGAATTAGTATGGCGGTATACGTGTCGCCTGTGTCGAGAGCCAGAGTTTACATGGTCTGGCGGGTGTCTTCCTATTTCGCCAGTTTCCCACTTCGCCATTTGCCATTTCGCCAGTTTCCCATTTCGCCATTTTCCCACTTCGCCATTTTCCAATTTCGCCAGTTACCCGTTTCGCCAGTTTCCCATTCCGCCATTTCGTCCTATCTCCCCGACCACTCCCTTGTTCGAGGTGGGTTAAAAATAGGCCTCTGTAATGAATAAATTATAACGAATCTTTAGATATGGAATCA